ATATGTGTATTTTTATTCGAAGAAAATGAATAAATGTTTTGATTTGAACTCGAGCAAATCTAACTCAATTTCAACTTTAAATTGATTTGAATTAAATTTAACTCATTTGTTGCCTCCCCGTTCATTTCAACATGAGCACGGTCTAATTTCTAAATGATTTTATCCCTTACTATTAGTAAATGTAAGTTTTATTGCTAGGAAACCTGGTTGCTTAACAGAGCAATTTTCAATGAATGATGTTTGAATTTAGCAAAATATTTAATATACTGTTTTAATCATCCAAACTTTAAATATAAAATATAATTATTTTTTTTCATTACAATCACCCTCCTTTACCACTAACGAAGGCTTTGAATGAATGTTTTGTGTGGTAAAAATGTTATATTTTAAATTTCGGTGGTTAATATTTTATATTCAATATGTTGAATGTTTATTATGTAAGAACTCCTACTTAGAAAAGTCTTCACAACTTTTTTATGAGGGACATGGTGGAATATCTGTAAAAATTAGGAAAGTTGGGCGTTTTCAGTCATATTTAAATTTTAAATTAAATAATTGTTATGTTATATGGGTGAAGTCGTAAAGATTGCCTCAATTAACGGCCATTTTTGTGTGTTCCCACTTTGAACATATGCATCTTCTTACAACCAGTTTCTTACTTTTATTTAGCTTCCTTTTGTGAAAATAGCTTTGAAATCATGCAAATTTTTTATTCAAAATAAATAAATAAAATGTTCACCAAAGGTAGCTTGTATGTCTAATATATTGTAAATAATCAAACTTCAAACTCAGAGGAAGTACTATAGGCGACAAAACTACTGGTCTCCCTACACTTAAAGACTAATGATTTTGAATCAAAATTGAGTTTGATTATTGTGTTTAATTTGTCTAACTTTGGTCTTGTATACACAGTTACAGCTATATACTTGAACCAAGACTTTTCATGTGGAGTATGACATAGAGGGCAACACGTCGTGCAAGTTGCGTAATAAAATTGTTATCGTGAACTGGGTCCACTTACTAGTGGTTGAATCAAGCCCACATGTCGAAGTGGTTGAAGTGAGCTTAATTGTCGGAGTGGCTGAAGTGAGATCACTTGATGAAGTATGAATCACCTAGATTTATTTCTCCCACGCGAGACACCTAGCTTATTTAGGGAGGAACAACTATTAAGAATGGTCATCATTATTTGCAAGGATGTATGTTCATCTTTCTTTCAAATTGCCGCATTACACCAACATCACATTCTTTTCACCAATACACCACAGATGGCTATTGTTCAGCTTACCAGAGGTTCAAACTTAAGAGATAACATCGGAGAGATGCTTGAGAGAAGTTTTTACCAAGTTGCTTGTATTATTCAAGACACTACAACCGAAAAGTATTCAACATTTTTTTTACTTTATATTTTTTTTTACAAATGATATCAAAGACTCTTATGTGATGTTTAAACAAAAGTTCAAGAGCAGACAACTATTCAGCTCAAATAATTTGAGTCCAAAATATGCACATGTTTTTAATAATTATAAAATGCAGAATTTAGAAGAGAATTGATGATACATGTAGAAATTTTTCATATGATAATGGTTACAAAATATGTGACACAATTATATTTAATCTTACCTCAATTTCTAAAAAAATATGTTGGCACAAAATGATAAAATTGCAAGTTTTCACCAACACAATTGATTGGGTTAAAAATAAATTTGACCATTAGTACTTATTGCCCAACTTTCAATCCCCACTAAATTGATACTTACAAGCAAAGTAATCTAAACTTTGATTAAATTATAATTTATATTGTCATAAGCCACAAATTTAGTTCCAAACATAATTAGCATATATAATATAAATTGAATCATGCAACAACTATATTTTATAGAAAAATATTATATCATAAATTTATTTCATATGTCACAATAAAACTCTAGTTATCGATGCCATTACTTTCAATTAAAACCTAAAAGGTAAAATGATGTGAAAGTTGCGTGAAACGCTTGAACTTCCCAAAAGTTCTAGCTATGTTTGGCAAGAAATAGTCAGACGGGAGAATAAAAACAAATGTCTATGTAGCCACTAGAACATGTCTCAGCAATATATATATAAATCAAAGTAACGATTGGGAGGAATTAATAGGAAATGATTGAATTGAACTCGTGATAGTTTAAAAGAACTCCAAAAATAGAGAAAGATCTAAAAAGTTTGGGTGCTTGTTGCCGGCCAAATTGTGGGGTGGCAAAAATGAATATCGGCTGAAGTGGCTGCAACCTTCTTGTCTCTTGATACTTCCCTAAGAAATTAATTTAATCATGCAGATGGACGAAACTTTGACGTGTATTTGGTCTAAGAGCATAAAATATAAAATAGGGAATTACCAACACTCAAATTCGAATGAAGTATTTTGATAGTTTTATCGGAGTTCAAATAAGTCAAGATCATACACTTAAAAAAATAATGACGAGATGATCTCAAAATCTAATAAGTTGCTGTCAAATCAAACGTCTCGAAGAGACAAATGCAATGAACTAAATGTCACTTAATTCTGACATCGTTAAGACATCTGAATACTCTAAGCTGTCTGATGGAGTGGTTCGGATTCATGTAATATTTACAGATGATGTCATTCATAAAATCTATAACTAAACCATCACACTCTTGATGATGAGAGAATTAAACTTTGACCTAGAGAAGAAAGTCGAAGGAGTTTTAAGATCTTTAGGGTTCATGAGCTCCACCGCCGCCACATTGTAGTCGTTGAGCTGCCGCCATCACTGGGCCATTGTCGTTGTCAACGTCCACGACCACTACAACACAGTATCCCGACCACTGCCCTGCCGCCATCGCTGGGTCATTGTCGTTGTCAACGGCCACGACCACTACAACACAGTATCCCGACCACTGCCATTTGGTTGTTGCTATTGTCGGGCCAACATTACCATGCCATCGTTGTCACTAAACGAGCAATGCTTGGCCACTATTGTTGTTGCTTTCAAGTCGTTGTCGCGGCTGGACCACCGTCGCAGCAGCAAGTCCACCACTGTCAATTCATCTTCGTCGCCTCCATCGGACCACCGTTGCTCGACCTCCACCTTCCCCGTCGTTGAACCATCATCGTCGCTACTGTCAGACCAACTAGTCGCTACTACCAAATCACAGCTGTCATACTACCACCATCGTCGTTGAATCATTGTCGCTACTGCAATACCACTGTTGCCTGACCATCACCGACACCACTATCATCTGGTCACCGTCGTCGCCGGACCATCAACGCCTGGCCTCTTAATTGCTGCCATCAAACTATTGCCATCTGACAATCGCCATCGCTGGACCACTACTGCCCGACCAGCACCATCGTTTTAACCAGATCATCCTCTCTAGTTGCCACCA